GTCATTATGAGGAATTGTGTGTAGAATTTTGAGGAAAGAGATTAATTTAATACAATTTAGAATACAGCTGTAACGTCACAAAATGTAGAAAAAGTGAATATACTGTTGTTACTCGACATACAGTGAATACTTTTACTGTGTGTCGAGTAACGACAGAACCGTGAAAATATATTTATGCAAAGTGAGAAGATGTCACACAGAAATGTGGCAGCAATCTTGAGTTAACTCCAAAAGTTAATCAGTCGTACGGGTAACTCTGTGTAAATCTGAGATGTTTGAAGGTGAGGGGAGGACAACAGGGAGGATGTCCCCAGATGTGCTCAATAAGTGGAAATGTCTCACTGGATGACAATGACTCATCCAAAGATCCTCAGCTCTTTGTAGGAAACGTGTCTAAAGGTTGGTTTGTCTCCTTGATATCCTGATGAAGCCATTGTTTCTTCTCTTCTCGTTTCCTCATTCACTCCTTTTAATTGTTGGTTGGTTTAAAATAAATAAATAAAAACTCTAATGAGACTGTGGGGGCCGGAAATTCCTGTCCAAATTTAAGTACGGGTTCAAAAAAGTTTAATTATTTTATAAAAGAATATTGTCCTATTAGAAAACATTTTTTTCTGAACTTTGAGGGGGAAATGCCACGCGGATAAAAATAATTGTGGATGAATCTTTTAGAAAAGGGTGTCCGTCAAACAAACATAATCAGATTTGCAGTGAAGAATTGTAAAAATAAAAGTTGGTAAACAATTAAAATCTACAAAAATAAAATAAAGGTCTAATCATATTTTGATTAAGCTATATAATGATATAAGCTAAAGTAAAGATGTATTTTAAGGTTCAAGTTTCTTTATTGTCATTCACATCACATGTGGTACATGAGGTGGAACAAAACTGTGTACTCAAGGTCCCAGTTACACCAAAAATTAGCAAAAATATAAATTATAAAAAAAGAAACAGTATACAAGGATCTAAGATATTCACTAAACAATAATAATGTAATATAATACAGTGTATTAAACAGCAGCCTGAACATGAGTCTGTTGTGAGCAGATGGGTATGAATACAACAGATTAAAGGCAAGAAATCAGCAGCATGGATAATCAGCAGCACAGATAAAGTGTCAAATCTACAATTAAAGAGGCATTACAGTGATTATCCTGGTTAGGGATTCATGAGTCTAACAGCTTCATGGTAGAAGCTGTTCCTCAGTCTTGTGGTTCTACACTTAATGCTCCGCAACATCCTACCTGAGAAGAACAGGGCAAAATGTGTGTGTGCTGGGTGAGTGGGGTACTTCGTGATGCAGGTGGCCCTCTTCCTGCATCTGGAGGTGTAGATGTCTGTGATGGTGGTGAGACTGACTCCAACAGTCTTCTGTGCAGCCTTCACCACTCTCTGCAAAGCTTTTCTTACTGCAGCTGTGCAGCCTCCATGCCACACAGAAGCACAGGATGCTCTCCACTGCACACCTGTACACAAATGAGTACTGCCCCATCACCTTGCACGCCACACCCCACACACTTTTAATAAACTAAATTCTCATGTCAAAGTATATATTGGGGATGACTCTCAGCTACACCCACATCAAATCTGAGCCCAGAATCTATCAAAATGACAAAGCCATTAATGCGTTTGCTAGTGTTAACTATGCACCGTTGTAAAGCAGGTTGACTTTAAACAGTTTAAGACATACAATCAGGATCCGCCTAACAGTTCATGGGATATTTTGCTAACACACATGTAATGGAAAGTCCAACAATCAAGGGCAAAGTTTTAAACTGACATGACACAGTCTCTTGGCACTATGTGTTGGGAATGACTTGCAGCTATTACCACACAAAATCTTAGCTTAACATCTCTAAAAGTAACTGAGTTTTAGACATTTGTGTCTTTGCTAAAGCCTGTGGCAGCCATCTTGAATGTGTATATCTTGTATAGCGTATATTTAGTGTATATCTTTGACCCTTGTATACTCTTTCTTTTTATACTTCATATTTTTGCTATTTTGTGTGTAACTGGAACCTTGAGAGGCAGGTAGCAGTATATTCTGTGCTTAAAGGAACAACCAGAGAAGCGTTAAAGCTCATTAATTCAAATCATTTCACTCAATTAAATGACCATTCGACCACACCCAAGTGGATGAAACCAATAAAAGCTACTTTATAGCTTCTATTGGCTTTTTCAAAACGACTTGTTCGCAAAAAAAGGATGTGAATAAACTGAAATGTAATTGATTTCTCAGCCGGACACACGCTCACAAGTGTAAGTCATAAACTTGTTGGCTTTATTAAGGAACTCTTTGAAAATGAAGCGAACAGTTCTAGACAAAAGACTTGAGAAGTTTTCATCTTTTAGAGAGAGGAAGACTCTGGTTGACCAGAAAACAAACGAAGGAAGCTGACTGCGGGCCCTCTATCTGAGCAGAGGGAAGGATACCATAAAAGGAGCAGGTCCACAAGCACTGTCAGAAGACTTTCATACTCGCACTACTTCTGCGTGTCCCCATTGCATCATTAAATGTTCAAACCATTGTGTTTGTTAAGAGTCCAAAAGGATTTCCCATGATCGTATCAATTTTCCTCAGCAAGAAAAAGAAGCTCAGAGCTGAGACTAAAACAAGGAAGGAAGTACTGTTGATATTGTTCTGGATTGCAAAGAGTTTTAAATTATTTTTATTTCATTGTTACTGAAGTAGCTGATGTAATGGTGTGTGTTAATGTAAATGGGAGGGGTTAGAAAATGTCAGCTAAAGGCAGGAAATATACTGTAGTAATTGTAAAATAATGGGAACAGTGTACTGCTAAATGTAATGTTTTCTCTTACACACTCATAAAAAGAGAAATGAGACTTTTTGAAAATTTCCCGAGCAAGAAACAAAAGAGAAACATCAAATAGAACCACCAATACACAAATTTCACAACAAAAAACAAAATTGGGAGTGTTGGGATATAGTGTTTTCATAGAATATTCTCAGTCAGTCTGACAATATTAATAAAGATAATCAAAAGATAATATTTTCTCACAAGTGTTTTTTAAATATTGCATTTTTGTATGGCAGCTTTTTAATTGTAGATGGATGTAGCCAAATTCATAGACATTTGCATTTTATAGAGAATGGATTTGCAAGAATGTGTAAATTTCAATGATAAAAAGCATCAACAGCCCAGAAAGAAAAAACATGTTTGTGATTTCTAAAAAAGTTAAATCTGGTCCTCTGGACATTCAAAAAACAAAACAAAGCAAAACAACAAAAAATGTAGAAACGTTTCGTCTCTCATCCGAGAGACTTCCTCAGTCTGAGGAGCTGTATTCCGCTCAGTCTCTTAAATAGCACCTTCTCAGAGTGGATCAACCAGTTTTGCTGCTGACAACCAAAACCAGCTGATCACATGCTCAAGAAGGACCATCAGCCTAACAATGGATCATTAGCACACTGATGGCTGTTTACTGTTCACAGAGGGCTGAGTGATACTAGCAATCACAGCATTGTAAGAGGGGGACAGTTGAACCCGGAGGCCTCCACCCCTGTTTAATGATGGACGATTTCTTTTCACAAAGATGGCCTCCTTTACTCCTCTCTCAAACCATCGTTCCTCTCTGTCCAGGATGTGAACATCTTCATCCTTGAAAGAGTGACCGCTGGCCTGGAGATGAGTGTAGACCGCAGAATCCTGGCCTGATGATGTTGATCTTCTGTGCTGGGCCATCCTTTTGGCCAGTGGCTGTTTAGTTTCCCCGATGTAAGACTGATCACAGCCCTCCTGACACTGAACAGCATACACAACATTACTCTGTTTGTGCCGGGGGACTGGATCTTTAGGATGAACCAGTCTTTGCCGTAATGTATTTTGGGGTTTAAAAGCCACTGGGACGTTATGTTTAGAAAATAAATGTCTCAGTTTCTCTGATACTCCCTCAACATATGGAATGACCACTGGTCTGGGTTCCTCCTTTTCACCTGATGGCTGACTGGAGTCCTGTTTGGGTTTCTTCTCTGCTTTCAGGAAGGCCCTGTTAGGATATCCACATTGCTCTAGAGCCTGTCTTGTGTAGGATTTCTCCTTCTGTCTGGCTCCTGAGCTAGTGGGGACGCTGTCTGCTCTGTGATACAGAGTCCTGATGACTCCTAACTTGTGCTCCAAAGGGTGATGGGAGTCAAACTGCTGTTTTGCAGATTTGCACCACACTACAAAGTCCTCAACCAGGGTCCTGTACTCCCTCTCCTGTTCATCCTGCACATTAAAAATAAATAAATAAATAAATAAATAAATTTGTACGTATCCTTTATGATTGTCTATTGTTGTCGTTGTTGTCCACTCATCACTCTTTGTTAAAATTCAGGTCTCTCTTGTAAATGAGTCCCCGAAGCTCAACGGGATTAACCTGTATAAATAAAGGTTGAATGACAAAGAAAAACATGCCCAACAAGTCTGAGAAAAAATACTGGTTTCACATTTGATATTTTTCTTGGTCGGCGACTTTGTTTTATTGTGAAATCTCACCGGAAGTGAAAATCCGAAGCAAACGAAGATGGGTCAGATATGACCAAAATAAATATGGCGGTTTGAATAACGATGATAAACACGCTCAACTTCTGTTTTCCTGTCATTTTTGCAAACTCTGTATTTTATGACGCCGCTGTTTAAGCAGCGAGGGCTTTATTTATTTTGTTTTTATTTTCGTTTCGTCTTTTCGCTCTGAGCTCTGAGTCGAAACGAAACCCGGAAGACAAACGGAAGTGGCCGCCCCTCATTCGAAACAAAACATCCGGTTTGTAACGCGTGTGTATTTTGCGACATTATCTCGTCAATTCACATGAGAAATAAAATAATTCACGTTCAGTGAAACAAAGGACCGCTTCAGCCGGAATTTGATAAAGGAGTAACGGTCTATCTGAGATGTAACGACCGAGTATTTCAGCCTGAAAACAGTAAAGAAGAAATGTGCTTGGATACAACCTCGGAGCACCGAGAGAGGTACAGTCACCTTAAAGCTGAGTGACCATGGGTTTGGTGAACTTTGTGATATCCACTGTTGGAAAATGCTTGGATGCGGTGTGTTTATTGTTGGACCTGAACTTTCTCATCGTCCACACCGTGGTGAGAATCCTCCTTGGGGTTTTTGCTTTTATTACCCACCTGCCCACCCTCCTGATGAGCTCCTTGGTGCAGCTGGGGAACCTCGTCTTGTTCTCCACCATGTACATGGCAGAGGCGACATCAAACTTAGCCCATAATACAGTCACCCTGCTGGGAAGCATGGTTCTTGCTCTGGAAGGTCTGCTGGAGAGCCTGAAGATGGTGGGCTACCTGTCCATGCACGTCCTGCTTCGGGGAAAGGAGCAGCTGTGTCGGGGTCTGTTGTCCGTGCTGGAAGGATGTGGCATCGCCATCAGTCTGGTGGTCTATTTTACCAACACCGTGGTGAACTTCGCCCTCATAGCCACCCAGAACTTCTACCTGGCAGTGGTTGGCTTGTGGCAGACGGTGTCCAGCCCACTGCAGAAGGTTCTGGAGCTCACCCTGACCTCCTTCACCTTCCTGTACAGCTGTCTTGCTGGCACGTCGGAGTTCCTGTGGTCTCCCTGTAAACTGCTTTTGGATTTTCTGTTTTCCCTCGTGCACATGTTCATCTGCATCTTCATCCTGAACATCTATGGCCTCCTGCTCACCGTCACTATCACCCTGATGACCACCGTCTACCTGAACCCGAGGCTGACCCGTCAGGCAGCCGTGCGCGTTATGGATTACACCAACTCTCATGCTTCTCTGCGTAGACTGTTTTGGAGTCTCCGGGGGCTCACTTTAGCCCTGTGGAGGACCCCACGTTCTCTGCGCCGTAACATGCAACACCTGCAGAGGATTCTCCGTCACCTCTACCTGCTGGAGAGAAGGTTTTGGCAGCAGCTGTCTCAGAACAGAAGCCAGCTGAGCCTGGCACTGCGAATGCAGCTGCACAGGTACAACAGGAACAGGGCGAGGGGGGACGGCAACCCTGGAATGGAGAGCCGAGGCCCGCCGGACGGGAGAGCAGGAGACGGGGCTCATCGAGAGCAGCAGGATTTAATTTTTCCTTCGTCGAGCTCGGGTGAGCCAGTAAAGAAGTGTTCGGACGTCGGTGACAAACTCCTGCCGGCTGAGAATCTGCTTTCTCTACTAAAGGAACAAGAGGAGAGGAAGAAGTGCGTGATCTGTCAGGACTGTACCAAGACGGTGGTGCTGCTGCCGTGCAGACACCTCTGCTTGTGCAGAGAGTGCACGGACATCCTTCTGAGGCAGCCCATCTACCAACAGAACTGCCCTCTCTGTCGTCACATGATCCTCGACACCATGGATGTTTATCTATGAGAGGCCATTACAAAAGGATCCACGTCTAACAGAAAAGACCCTTACAGTGTTTGTCACCAAAAAAAATGAGTAAATGACAAATTTGTGTTTTTTTTGTTCTTTTTTCTATCAGTGTGATTTTGAAAAAAGCCTAAAAATGACAAGGTGACTCTTCCATGTGCGCGTTTGTGCTTTCGCTCAAAATACAAAGTTTTAAATTAATTCCTACCCAAACGTGTTGTTTTACATTTCAGAAGGACTCGGGGGTTTTGGCTCTCACAAATTTAGTGGGCTCTAACTCGTAGACACAACGCTGAAAATTGCTGGAATCTTTTTGACGGTTGGGAAAAAACAGGAAATGTAACCAAAAATATCATATAAGATTTTATTTCATGTTTTGTAAAGCTGTAAAGAAATACAAAAGAAGGTTTTGGGTGTCTCAATATTTCTCCCTGTAATACTAATTCCATACAAATTTTACTTTAGACTCCTCTGTATAGTGTATTATTACTCTTTCGAGTATATCATCAATCAAACTATTGGTTTAGGGGAGCGGTTAAGCTACATATGTTTAAGATCGATGTTTCACGATGCAGCAAGTGAAATATTCTCCCAACAGCTTGTACTAGTTTTCATAAACTTCATCTCTGAGCCTTCTTAGCCTTTCATTTCTGCAGTGTATTGTGGGGAAAATGGTTTCAATCACAAGTATGTCAGTACACAGTAGATTGAAAACTACTGCGCTTTACTTGTTCAGGATGTGTACTATCGCACTACATTTTGAAGCAATCAAAGGTGTGAACAATCCTTCCTTTGCAGTTTGGATCAGTAGATGTATAAAACTACAGTTTTGTAACAAAGTTGTAAATATGTGTCACTTCCTAGCAGCCTAGTTTCCAACTAAAGCTGTGTTACCATGGTAACAACGTCATTGTACCTATAAAACCCATTAACTACATAAAAATTTATAATATGCCAAGGAAAGTGAAGCAATATTTTTATACTTGAACTCAAGGTATTGATATTGATACTTAAACTCGAGGTATTGATATTGATACTTAAACTCAAGGTATTGGTATCTCTGCTTGAACTCAAGGTATTGATATTGATACGTAAACTTGAGGTATTGATATAGAAAACTCGAGGTATTGACACCGATAATTTAAATTGAGGTGTCGATACTTAACCCCGATGTATTGATGTTGATACTTAAACTCGAGGTATTGATACTTAAACTTGATGTATTGATATCGGTACTCAAACTTGTTGTATTGATATCGATACTTAAACTCGATGTATTTATACTTAAACTTGAGGTATTGATATTTATGCTTAAACTTGGAGTGTTAATATCGCTATTCAAAGTCAAGGTTTTGACATCGATACTAAAACTTGCAGTATTGAAATCGATACTTAAACTCGATGTATTGATACTTAAACTTGAGGTATTGATATTGATACTTAAACTTTAGGTATTGATATTGATGCTTTGACTTGAAGTATTGATATCAGCACTTAAACTTGATAGGTTGGTATTGATACCTAAGCTCGGCGTGTAGGTATCATTACTTAAACCTGATGTGTTGGTATCGATACCTAAACTTGGCGGGTCAATATCGATACCTAAACTCATCGTGTAGGTATCGTTACTTAAACCTGATGTGTTGATATCGATACCTAAACTTGAGGTATTAATATTGAGCTTTTTTAATGTTCATCTTTACAAAATGGAACATCCCTGCTGCAGTAGTGCTTTTTGCTCCATCTAACCATATCTTATAGGAAATGTTTATTCTTTGGATGATTTTGCTACGATGCAAAAGTTTGGGGCATATAGAAATCATACATTTTTAGTAGGTTTAACAGCATTTTAGTGTGAATGTTGAGATTATGGAGTGAAATAACCATTTTAAAGCCTCTAAATTTGCCTCAGAGTCTCAAACATCTATATCTGCTGCTGCCCTGCTTTCTCAAATGTTTACAACTGCTCATCCCGTGCCATCAGTGGGCCAAGCTTGACCTGCGCTGAGCAACACTGTGCTTTACCTGTAAATAGTCTGGTTGTTTTTTTATTTCGTTATGGGTGTGACAATGGACGTTGCTATTTTATTCTGCTTCTCTAAATGCGGACCACTTTAACTCGTGCTGCATGTGTGCATTTAAACACTCTGACCTCAGCTTTGTTCCTCCTGTTTGTTCTATTCTTAGGCCTTTTCCCAGTCTTCTACTGCCACCAACAAATAATCCATGCCTTTATGACTTTGTTATCCATCGCGTTTCTGTTGTAGGAAAGGACCAAACAAAATGAAAAAAACATCCAACAATTAAACTTGCTTTTGGAGCTCATTTGTTGTCATTTGGAACGAGGTAATACTATTGACTGTGTTTAAAGTTTACTGGAAATGATTGCAGTGGTACTGATTGTTGGTGGGATGGGATCAGAAATGTTGGAAGTGTCATCTGACGTATGGCCAAATGTACTTTTTGCAAGACTTTTTTTCCTCATTGTTCATATACATATATATATATATATATGTATATATATATACGTATATATCACAGTAATTGTCGTGGTATGGAGTTGCAGAGAAATCGCAAACCGTTCATTCTGTAGAAAACTGTATTCATGGAGGTTACAGATGTTTTTCGTTTAGAGATTGCAGACACTATAAACAGCTCCTCAGGTTTTTTTATAGACTCCCGACCACTTTTTTTTTTTTTTTTTTTCAAACCTTGCCGTGGACTGAAACAAACCCGCAGGACTGTTGTTCTTTTGTTTAAGTTTTGCTACCTGATGTATGAGTGACCAGTGAAACGATGTGATGTGAAAATATGAATGTAACATCTTTTTAAAGCTGTGAAGGCGGCCATGTATGCTGTGCATAATTAAACCACACCCTAAGTTTTGGATGTGTTCATGAGCCTGACCTGGAACTGTTTTTACAGCTACAAGCTCAGACTCTCAGAGGGCTGCAGTGATCGCCACGGAAATGAGCTTTTTCTAAAATTGATCATTTTGTCTCTTAGAATGGTAGAAATTATTTTGTTATTTTTTATTTGGAGGAATCACCCATTATGGGTCAGCTAATTTTACAAGTCACATTTATCAATATTTATTATTATTAGTATTTTTATTGGACTTTGAGGTCAATTTTGAGACATAATATTAGAAAAGTCAAGACAACAGTCAGCATTGATTAACTGATGAGACAACGGTTATCAACCCAGATGTAATGAGAGTGTATAATTTAAAAACTTGTGTCAAAACCAAACATTTGAAACAAAGACACTTAGCTAAAATCCTAATGTAAAAGGTGCAATTATCTTACAGTTTCCAAAGTGTTAGCACAGTTTGAAATCATAATTATAAAACAAAGTCTCGGTTCCAAGATCACTTCAGTATTTTATTTTCTTGTATTATAAACCGACGGGGGTGTCAAACTCATTTACACAAAGGGGGCAGAATTAATGGTTCAAACCAATGAATACATAATCTCAAGTAAACAACCCGACATCTTTTCTGGATTGCAGGATCCTCGACACTTTGATCAGTCTCATTTGACGTTCCCTGCTCCTCTGGCTCACATCAAAATGAAGGATTACTGAAAACGTAAATCTTTTGGGCTTCAAAGTGGGCCAGCTGTCAAGAGAAGTCTGCACTTAATGAAGTAGTTTTTGAAGCTAAATAAAAAGTGATTAACAAAAATGATTGCATTTCAAATATCATCTTGAGGGCCAGATAAGTGAGGGCCACATTTGGCCCTCGGGTCTCGAGTTTGACACGGTCCTGATGTCACACTGATCTTAATGCTGCCTTCAGGTGCAGCTCCAGAAGGGAAGATTAAGGAGAATTTTTTAGCTAAGTGTCAAAAGATGCAATCCAAACACCAATCCATGATGGGAATGCAGCCCCACTGCCTGACAAAACCAGTTTAGCTAAACTATCGGGTTTCTCCTTTAGTGCAGTGGGTCTCATCTCGTCCAGCCCGTGTGCAGAAACTGAGAGAATCAGCAGACATTCAGGTTTATTTTGCTTCCACTTTTCAACAGTGACAACCATCCAAACAGAACTGAACTCAGGAGAACCGTCAGAAGAACTTCCACACACTGCCAGGCTGTGGAGATTACAGCACCTGCAGTCCAGACAGCAGAAGGCAGAACCAGAACCTCTGAGCAGATGCACAAGATCTTCCTTTCCAGATTCAAGCACACATAGACAAACGCACACCTAGAGACAATTTAGAGTCACCAATCATCCTAACATGTATATATTTTTGTCTGTGAGAGGAAACCGGAGTACCCGGAGAAAAGCCACGCATGCACAGAGAGAACATGCAAACCACCCAGAAAGATCTCCAGCTGGGATTCGATCCAGCAACCAAAAGGTGAAACTCATCACAGAGTGATATATTTAAAGTACATTTGTAAAGTGTGTTCTTGTACTGCAGTTTATTCGGTCAGTACTCGGTTTGGGGCTCCTTCTGCATTGGAGTGGAGGCCACCTGGACCTGCTGAGGGGTTATGGTTGAGTCAACCCTCAGCTCATCGGCACTGTTTGCTCTGGCGTCTCTCGTCTTCCTCTTGATGTCATCCTCTTCCTCAGAGCTTTTCTCTGGGGTTCAGCTTGGATGAATTTAGCCAGTAACACCCAGTGACACCATGGGGTCACTGATCCAGGTGCTGGTGCCAAGACAAGTTTGTCCTCAAAAATCAGGGAAACAGGAAGTGCTCTAAAGTTCTCTGGTAGGCCCCTGTATTTTTGGACTTGATAAACCCGGTGGACCAACTCCCGCACACAGCTCCAAATCATCACAAACTGTGCAAACGTCAAACTGAACCTCAGACATGCTGGATTCCTCCTCCAGACTCTAAGACGTCCAAACTAAACGCAAACTTTGCTTTAATCATTCTGAAAAGACGACTTTGGACCACCAAACAAGACGTGTCATAAAGGAACCGCAGCGGTGAGGCCGTTCACAAATGTTGATATTCAGAGTCTGGAATGTGGAGCAAGCAGTGGA